GAACCACGCTCCACCACCGCGCTTGCCTTCCACGCCATTGTAACATTTCGTTCTTCACCGCTTCTTCCTCCTGCCCTTTTCCATGGCTTGTCTCTCCCATTTCGGTGGTCAGGTTCCCAATGCACTTTGGTCCCTGCCACTTGTACACGTTGGCCTTGCTTTATTGGGATGCGGTAGCCACGCGGTTCTCCAAATTGCCGCGGAGGTCTATCGCCCTCAAGTTGCCCTCGTATCCCCACTTCTGTCGCTTGGTAGCCCGCGTAACTGACGTCTTCTCGACGCCCAGCCGTGCCTTTACCCTTCGACCTTCAGTACTATAGTTTCTTGTCTTCTAAAACCTTCTTCGGAACGCCCTCAGGGCAGGCCACACGATCGTCGTCCTCGGGACGTTCAATCTTCAGCGCCCTCGGGGCGGCCTCCTCGCTGCCGCACTCCGGCGCACAGCGGAACTTCAAACGGGTGCCCTCGGGGCAGGCCTTGTCGCTGACGTCCTTGGAACGCTCAGCCTTCAGTGCCCTCGGGGCGGCCTCTTCTTTGTCGCACTCCGGCACACAACGGAACTTCCAACTCGCTCCTCTCGGGGCCTCCCACGCAGTTGACGACTTCGTGACGTCCCGCCGCGCTACCCTTCGAGTGTAAACCGCCTTGCTCACGTCCTTGAGGCCCTGCTGCCTCTGGTCGTGGGTCAGGTCAACTTGGAGCGCCTTCGTGTCCTCGGCAGCTCCTCTGGCTCCGAAACCAGTTGTAAGGGGCGTGGAGCCTTGACGGCAACTCCAACACCCGTTGGTCCAAACTCGGACCCAAGGAACGGGAAAACTCACGATTACAAACTGGGCGAAGGACACCTGTATTTATAGGTGCCCGCCCGGGAATCCCAAGGGTCATGCCAGAAATTGGTGAGTCATCCCCAATTCTGGCATACCCGCCAACTTGTGTTCGAATGTTTGTATCCCGTCCGCATTGTCATTGGTCCCAAGGTTCCCACAGTGCTTAAGCCTTTATGCAAACGTTCCCAAACTCATCAAGCGCAGCTCCCACCTGACCCAAAAGCTACCGTGTGTTACCAACACGGGGTTTGATACCCATCTACTAGTAATCCTTTTAAAACGCTGATTGTTGCCCTCACAAGAATACCCTTAAAAATAATCAATATATGCGCTATATGATGTTACATGTGTCGTAAATGGCTTCTACAGCTTTAAATGAGCTCTGGACTTCAATAAGGCCAACGGTCAATAAGGCTGGTGCAAAGATCGTGGGCTCGCCATGGCTAGACCTCTCCGGAGGGCAGCAGTGAAAATTCGGCTTGAATTCAATCGAGCAGGGTCGATTCCAAGCAGCAAAACGGCCAGAAATGCACAGGCCGATTGTCTCACGCCAGTCGCACATAGAGCCTGAGTCCCTCCCTCGAAAGGGACGCTCACTTGGCCTCGCAGGTCCTCTCCTCAGCCGGTGAGGAGGCCTGGCTGGCTGCAGCGGCCATAGCCAAAGCGTGTTACAGAACGAGAGCGGTCTACATTGCCAGCTCCCTGGATTATATTCAAGTTCATGTTCTTTTCCAGCCATACACACCGCAGAATATGCCACAGAATATTCCCTGTTGTTATGCGCATCACAACTTTCCAGCACTCGAAGTACCATCACCGTACTGCCCTTATGGGCCGCCCAAATCCAACTAAATCTTCCACCTAGCGTCCAGCCACGCCCCATGCTCTAAAGTGTACACATTGGACACTGACTCTCATTAGATTTTTTTTCACTTGAAGTTCCGCTGAACCCTAATGCTCATTGGGGTCACATTGCTGCCGCTGACCTGGAAGATACCGGATCCGTGCCACTCAAGGTACTACAACCATGGTAGTGCGGACATCAAAGATCTTGTAGGACAGGCGCAGATTCGTGCATATCACATCATAAGCTAACCTATTTCAAGGCTACGGCTGACAGCAATTTCCACTATTCCTAAAATAACTTAACCACTGCTCTTTCCAGCTATACAGGACCTCGCAATACAAAATATACCAAAACACCATCGGAAACAAAAGTTGTTTCTTAGTGTCGACTTGTTTCGTTCTTCCTAGAGCCCCAGAAATCTTCAAACTTATCAGAAAAACACAAATTTTAGTATCATTCAATTGCACACTGTATTTGCAATTGATCTGTGTGATTAGTTCCCTATAATGACCCTATCTAACCTATATGAGACGCCTAGCCTAACTCCAATCGAGGCCCCACGTGCTAGATCGCACACAATAGCCTAACATACAGGGCCACTTGACAGCGCCCGATCCATGCCCGATACGCGCACGTATCGCAAATCCCCTGGGGCGGCCCGCTGAGGCAGCGCTCAGCGCTATAGGCGCCCCCCACCACCTCACTCCCTGCACTGGCACTGCCTCCAACCCGCCGTCAGGTCGGCACGTTTCCTCGAGGCAGGCTCCGCAAGCACACACACACACACACACCCTGGGGTAGGGTTGGGCACACGGCCCCCTTCTGTGGAATGGCCCGCTTATTTTTCCAGAAAGACACTCCCCGTTTCGTAAACACGTGCAGACCACCCCGTCCATGGCTCCTGCATCCGTCCCCGGGGGTGCTCTCTCTCGACCACCCCTCCGTAAGCGTGCTACCCAGGCAGATTGGGATCTCTGCCCCCTGCCTCCTGATCCCCCCGGCCACCTGCGAAAAATCCCTTTGGAATTGTTTGCGCTACCATGCGGCTGCAACCCCCTCCGCTAAGTAGTCCAGTGGGTTCCCATGGGCTGAACTGCCCGAACAACGGGCATTGCTCCAGTTTCCCGATGCAGGGACCTTCGACAGGTGCCCCTGGTCCATTCGGGTCAGTCGCTTAGCACTCGCGCGGTGTCTTGGCCAGTCGCTGGGCATGCAGGTGGCTGGCGTCGGGTGCGGCCTCACAGGCCATGGTGCTTCATGAGTGCCTCCCGCGCAGTGGGTGAGTAGCTGGGCGGTATTACGTGGCAGCTGTCCACTTGTTGGCGTACATCTGGGCCGTGACGCCCCCTGTGGGTTCTCTGTGGCCTCTTGGCGAATTGCTTGAGGGATATCCCTCCGGTCTGTTTGCAAACTGTCGACCGAGGCCACGCCGGCCTGGAATCCTGGGCCTCGTTGGGCACCAACTTGGTAGTGTTACGGATAGAACTGATTGAGTTCCATTAATAACTGAATGCATGAAAAGATGATGAAGCACTAGGAATTGCATTAAAGATGTTGATGAACGAACTGAATATAAAGGACAGAACGCCTGTTGTCCTTTTGCCTCGGCTGCAAACCGTTGCCGTGGACTTGAGCGTACAGTTCCTGTTCAGGGATCGCCACCCCTCGATCCTGCCTGCCTTCTTCAGTAGTATTCGCGTAAAGACTCATGTGGAATGGCAGCCATCTATTCATTTAGATTGGCTCCATTTATTGGTGCCCCGAACACCAGTGAAATGGGGTCGTCATGGGGCGGCTTTAAAGAGGTCACCCCACGGTAAAAAATGAATGGCGATGATGACAAATCTGTGGATGCGCAGATGCGGTGTCACCACGCCAATCTACGGCCGCCACAGCTCCTGCGCCTGGGACCGGGGTGGTGGGATGAAGGCACTTGTGAAAGCTGGCCAAGGCACTTATTCTGAATTTAGCGCTCGATGGCCGCTGGGCTAAGCAGCGTTGATGGGGCTGGTGTCCAGGGTGAGGACGCCAACAAACAGCAGGACTGCGCTGAAATTGAAATGAGGAAGGAAGAGGCTGGAACGGCCTTTGTGGTGTGCAACAATGCTCCTGACCGCAGCCCCGTCCATGGCCACGCTTACACAGGGAGTTTTTGGCGGGCTGGTGTGTCGCCGTGCGCATGCCCTCCGGAAAGGGTGGTAAGCAGGGTGCATTGTCCGCCGGCGGTGCAGAGGTGCACGGACTTCGGCAATCAGCAACAAATGCTTGATGGCGATCAGCAACGGCATTTGGTGATCACCACCTTATAACATTCCTCGCAACATGGCATCGCAGTGCAATATCATACAAGACCCATTATCCGCGGGTGTGTGGCATGCTGTTCAGAATCAGCCCTCAACATTGAGTCAGTCTTGGGCGAACTTAAAAATAATTTCCCTATTATTGTAATATCTCACAGAGGACCCCCTTTTGTCATTTTCCCTTAAAAATATTTTGAACACACTGATGGGTGCCAGTCGAGGAGTGTGAAGCCCCTGTCACCATGCCAGATTGTCCGACACAGACACCGTGCCATTTGATGCAATATTGTTACAAGATTGTTAATGGACAACTGTAGTATGTCAATCCTATGCCCAAAATACAAGTCAATCGCCACAATCCTTGACTGCCAGTAATCCTTGGCACCGTTTAGCGTGCAAGAAGTCGTACGCGTTGGTTCGCGTATCACCAGCCTGTCTTGCAGTACTGGAGCTTCAACGAGCCACGAAATTCAGTTCTTGTAAATGCCACACTCCCTGGGAGGTGACAAACACCTGCACGTTTGACAAGCAGACCGGGATGCTAAAGACATCACTCCCACAACTTGGGTTTGCTGTGACTGGCTAATCACTGTTTCTTGGATACAGTACTCGCTGGGGACAGCCCACGCATTAGACCCTCACTATGGCAATGCACATTTGCAAACATCCCCACACTTTGCACCCATCACCTCAAAACCACTGGGCCGAGAACACAGCTAGCGAACCAGCCAAACGTCTATCATCCAGTTTGAACCCCCCCGTCACATCCATCACCCGCCAGCCTGGCAGGTGGTCACCAATATCGTGGGAGACAGTAAAGCAGGGCATCATCAACTTCAACCAACGTAACCAAAGCAGGACTGCGCCATCATCCATGTGCATTGTCTCCGCTTCTTCACGTAGAAGCCGCCGCCAGGTTCTAATTGTGGATTCAACTTCAGCACAGGCGCCTTGCATGTGGCGCGCACATGTTAGGTGCCACGCCAGTGGTTCACTCGGCTGACAGACGCCAGATGCAGGTGCTCATCACTGGGCTTCGGTTCCGGGCTCCTGTAGTGCGATGGTGACCCCAGCGTTCCGCAGCCTATCGAGCAGGACAGGTCCCATGGCAGTGGCGGGCGTGAGAACCCCACCCCTCATCACGCCGGCCTTCTTCAGCCCATCCTGCTCCATTGACATACACAGCGCGCTCTCCACAACCATGATGGCAGTGCTGGTGTATGGGTCATGTGGGTCCTGCAATCCACAGAGAGGAATGCAGCAAGGGCAAAAGAACCGACAGTACGGACACAACTGCGTCATCGCCCTGGGTCTGCAAGGTAGCATTTCGTCACATTATGGCGAGTGTAATCAAACTGACGGAATCCTTGTGGGGCACGAGTCAACAGCAAATCAAACTGCTAGCTGCTAGCTGCCCGCTGCCAGTGGGTTGCATTTGACGCAAAGTTCGATATGTATGGCGGACGACTTCATTGAATTTAGCTCATTTAGGCAAAATTTCTCATTTCGTTTGGTACAGGCAGCAAATCGACTCTGTCAATCTTATCTGGCATCCCATCAAGTATGGCACCCATTGAATCGTGGTCCTGTGTTGTGGCGAGTGGGGGGGAAACGCCTTGTTTGAATCAAGGAAGGAACAAACCCCGTCATCATCTTGAGATTGCAAGGGCAATGTTTCCACCACAACAGCAATGACAAGGACTTCCATTGCAATACAATCAGGATATCCACTGTTTGGTAGTGACAAAGCTGCCGCGATCTGTCTGGACATCGCTGCAAGCAGTGCACAACCTTGTACCTAAACATTGGAAGTAAACACAACAGATGGCTGTGCTCGATCTGAATTGTCATTGATGAATATGATGTCACAATCCACTATCGTGACATTGATAATACTTCACGTGTGCATCTCATATTCAGGCAAAATCATAGGACACATTCTGTAGAATGATACTATTTCCACTGTTAGCACTCTATGAAACCTGTTCCTAGCAATAACAACAACCCTCCGGGTGAATTGCTCCCGGGATGTCAGGGAGGCTTAGGGATGTCTTGCTCAGTCTTCGGAAATACCATCAAAACAGTTCCACTCAGCAGATTGACATGGCCAATGCACCGCTTGGATCAAAGCGGGAGACACAAATGGGGTCACACCATGGCGGCAGGGTGACAAGGAGCTGCGGAAACACAATCAACGACTCCCCCGTCCCAGTTCACCCTTCGCAAGGTTTGCATTACTCGTTCGCAGATGAAGTGCAAGGTAACAGTGCAACGCTGCTTAACATCGCTGACTGATTAATGGGGCATGGCCAACCAGTATGGACTTGCGTTGTTAGCAAATGATCAAATTCACACTGCTCACTATGGGTATGGGTACACCATTTGCTTCATAGCAGTTCGTTTCTCTCTTTCTTGTTGGACCACTGTGCATACAGGTTGCAGGTGGATGGGAAGCGGAGAAAATGTGAATGAGCGAAAAAGGGACGTTTTGTATACTTGGTTGGCCATCATTGTCCACCCGGTGCAACGGCCTTCCCCCTCCATGCAAAGCCAAATGTGACACAAGGGATCCAGCCACTGGCACAGCGTTCAAGAGCACAAGGGTCTAATTTTGCATTCACCTCCTGTTTGCAACTACGCGACCTTACCCCGACAGTTGCCTTGACAATGGTTGGCTTGGCACCTGCCTCCTCTTGGGTGACGCCCACCATGCAAAACTCCCAGAGCCCCTTGCTTCGCTCCTCTCTGGAAGGGCCCTCACCCGGTTTGGGCGCCCATCGCCCAAACAGCCACTGCAAAAATCTGGACTTGAAATACGACATCACAAACATGACCAGCAGCGTCAACATGCAGGCCTTCAGCCAGCTGCCTTGACTCCACGACTCTGTGTACTTAAAATCGTCACCATAGACATGGCCCAGCAATGCGTTGCTTCGCCTGACAACACGTGTATTGAATCCGCCCCCCAGAAAAGGGCCAGTCCAAACTCCCAGCTCCTTCTGGTAGGCAGGACAAATCTGATCGGGGCCATCGCTGCCACGCCTGGTGAGACAAAGCCACGTAAGCAGGGGCCATTGTCATAAATGGCCAATGGCCAGAATTTGAGTTCCAGCTAGAACTGGACAAAATGGCATATCGATGTTCACATGAGATCTGCCTTGACCACAGTTCCCTTTTCAGGTCAAAAACAGCACCCTTGAAGACCATGACAGGTGCTTAGACTTTCATGCAGTCGTTTCACAAGATGCCGAATCCCAAACAATGATGCAGTGTGGTTGCAGGCTGAACAGCCACGTGGCCCTGTGCTTTGTACTGGTTTCTGTGGCCCACACCCGACATCGCCTGACAGGTGCAAGCACATTGCTCTTGCATACTCAGGCATGTTTCTTGGCTGACAAACGCATAAAGCAAAGATGTGTGCTGAGTAGGCTAAAAAGCTCAGGTTCCAGGTGCGAAGTGAGTTGTCTTTGGGTTGTTTGCGAAGGAGACAATGCAGGGCCTCATTTTCATCCCCAAAAGTCATTTTGAGTCACAAACGATAAAATTTCAAAGCTTGTTGCTGCGCATGCAGCTGAACAATGCCTTATATATGCATGGGCACAGTTTTGTCATGTTTTTGACACAGTCTACAGGGGTTTCCCAGAATGTCGAGCGAAGACATCCCTGACAGACAAAATGCTTTATACTGCTGTAGTAAGTCAACGATCACGTCTCACAATGCGTCAACACAACTGGGTAAAGTCACACATCCCATAGTGTCTAAATCCCCATGCACAATACAGGTCTGATGGCACACAGCATACATCCTAGCCAAGATGATCAATTGAAGAAAAATGTCAAGCCCGCAGCACATGGCAAGATACCCGTCCCAGACCATACATGCCTGTAGAGTGCCTTGCTCTGCATATGCTGCCATGGCAGATATGCGACAGACAAATTGGCTTTCGTCTGCGTCGGCATGGAATTCAAACAGTGCCGATCCTTCCATTACCTGCTCTCAGGGGGATCCAGGCAGTATGGATCTGCAATAACTGCTGAATCCTTGGACACCATCAGCGATATGGTCTTCAGCGTGCCTCCACTGAGGCCGGCTTTGAGTTTCGTGATGACACCTTCAACACGTGCGCATTTCCTGACAAAAATTGCGAAGAAAACAGAGGCAATCAGGCCAAAAGGATACCACAAGGGACACTGGATTGTTGAATTTGTGGAACCGCCTCCAGTTCTGCCACCAGCCAAAGTCGCAATTGCTGCCAAATTTGTGCCCTCCTAATGATGCATACCTTTTAATGATCAACAAACTCATGCACACTACATGCCTCATCACTTCTCATTTTCTATTATGATGTACTCACAAGCTCAACATGAAGATAACAAACAACTGCATACCCACTTATGCAGCCCCAGCCGAGTTGGGTATCCATAGCTAAGCAAAAAGCTGAATGAAGCTCCTATATGTGATTCCTTATTGGTAATAGCTTTGGTGCACCCACGCAACAGTTTCATGAGCCTCCACAAAGTCGGGTGCTGTCTGAAGCTTGCATTTGCAACGAAATCAACGCCATGTGCTGAGGTTTGGCTTCCATTTACCAAGCCCTTTTTGCTACATGTGAGCATTCCTAGTTCATCAGACCTTTAGGCCTTCATCTCCAGTCATCTCAGGCGGGGATCCAACACGTGTGGCACAGAAGCCACAGCATTTAAAGGGACATCTGAGCCAAACCCTGCTCATGTCCTTCTTTCATTTCAGAATCTTTGTTGGTGGATCAGCTGGGCAGAAAGATTGCACAGGATAGAAAGTAGTCACCTCAAAATTACTGCATTGCATTGCATATTGCATTGCATTTGCACCTGTCACTCTTGCAGAAACTCGTTCCGTGGATTCTTACAACTGAAGTCATTGGATCTGGCAGTCCTGGATGGGACCAACATCAAGACATGACCAACATCTGCGCTCCAGCACAAAAAAAATTCGGAACATGCATGCTGGTGCCATGCAACTTGGGGTACAAATTTCTTGCTGCTGCTGTCATGTCACCAGGACTTGCTACCACTGTTGTCAGTGTTCATCATAACATAGGAGCTAGGCTAACTGTGATTGCAAAATAATATAATACATGCGTTGACTGTCATGATGTGTCACTTCTGTCACTGCCCGGGGGCCAGGGTATCTGGAAATAGCACTGCACGCACATGCTAACAACAGTCCAGGAGACCACGTGACCGCATAGCAATGTGTCGAAATTCACTCAGGGGCGCAAGGGCAGTGGCAGAAGCCCCTTCCCGGCTTATCAACTCCCACCTGATGCGACTGTAATCCCTGCAACAGCAAACTGACCAGCTGGTGCTTTTTGTGATCCTGCTTGTTACTGTCAGGAACCAACCCCTGTCACATCTGCCATAATTTGGGTATCACATCTTGCAGACATGATGCCGTGAGCTGAATGCAACAGTTGTGCACAACAGGGCTGTCGATGTTTGCCCCCTCCCCACAAGATCATCTCCCTGGTCTCGCTGGCTTTTTGCTCTTGAGGGTGGCTGCTCATTGTATGGCACACAACATATCAACACTTTGGCAGAAAAAGCACTCTGCCACTAATACCTCCCCAGCTTGGTCTTCATGTGGTTGACCACAAACCACGCACCAATGTCTGAAGGCACGCTGTCTTGGCCGCAAAAGGGGACAATATTGACACCTCTGTCCTTTGCAGCGTCGTGGTACTTACGTATGATACCTCTCACCCAGGGTGTCTCACCTAAGCAACAAGACTGCCAGGTGAGTGCATGAGCAGGTAGCTGGCAAAACAACACATCCAGAGAGCAGTAGCAAGTCCAAATAGCCGAAGTCCCACCCAGTGGGCCCAAGCCACGAGCACTGTGCATGGAGGGAAAATGCTATAGAACATTGTGGGCAGCCCGAGGAGTGTGTGCACACTGCAGTCCCACACTGCACTCCATAAAGTGTGCTAGAGGTGCATATTTCTCCTTTGGCTACATCTGCTATAATCTTTATAGCATGTTACCTAAGTGTCTTGAGGCAACAGAATTGCATTCGTGTGCTGCAAGGGAAGTCTCACGCTTGCTTCCTTACGCTTGCTGGGACTGCAAGACTTTGTTTGTCAACATCTATTTTATGATATGGCACCATACTGTGCAGGTATGCTACCATGTTTGCCTGAGTAAAGAATTCCATCAGTTGACCTGATACATGTCCTGCATCACTGGTGCCAAGTTCTACAAACAGAATGGCCAGACACTCGTGAGATTCTGCTGGCAAGAAAAACAAAAATTTCCTGAATGGAAAAAACAAGATTCAATTGAAAACTCTCCTCTGCACTTCAAACGACACTCTGAACAGGGAGAATCGGCCATTGCAGCAAAACTCACCGCTCCTGTACAGTACCTGTGCAGTGAATATTTGATTGAGCACCCACTACCACACAAGCATCAAAGCTGCACTTTTGTTACGCCACGAGTACCTTGACGTATTGGCCTTGAGGGTATTCACTGTTCATGCAGCAGACCCCCAACGACGTCTTTGCATTGGAATCTCTTTTGGAATTTTGGTGACCAGGCAGGGCACACATTTCCAGGTATGTGCTGTTTCCTGCTGACTTTTTGTGCACCAACCCTACCGGTTTCAGTAACCCTTGGTCACACTGCTGGGAAGCCTTTCATGGTGGCCCAATTCTTGCCTCGTTACTCTAAAGAGCTTCGAAGCACCGAAGTGCATGGCTTATATCTATGTATTGCAGCAACCTGGGGAAATAACCAACCACTTCCTGGATGCACCTGTACCTGTCATCGCTGCTGATGTGCAGGAACTTTGCCTTTGATGTCTTTTTGACAAATGTAATCGATGCAACTGCTGCGTGCGCTGCATAGACTCACCTGTGACATCGCAGTAGTGTGTTCCCATTCGCACACTCGCATCCACAATGCACTCACCACACAGGGCGAATGGCCCTGCTGTTGCAATTATCACTTCTGTCTGTGCCACCATTTTGTCAATGGATGCCTGGTCCTCTGCATCCGCTATGATCAGTGGGACGTCCTGAATCAACCGGCAAAAGTGAACAATCTGTAACAGAAGATTGCCTTGCCAACGATAAAGAATAATAAAATGACATACAATGGGGCCCATAATGTGAGGAAGAACTTGGTGAGACACATCTCTACAGCCTGTGGAAGGTGGCGCAGACGTCTTTGAGTGGAACAGACTGCAACCCGGGTTTGCAGAGACAAAACAGCCTCATTTGGTTGGAATCCAGCAGCAGAATAGGTCAGGAAGGGACAACAGAGGATGGCAAGGGGGTCGTTCTGCAGCGTGGCCAACGGCACTGCAAGCTTGCCTTTGGCACATGCCAGTGGCGTCTTGAGGGGTTCAACTTGCGCGTTCGAGTACAAGCACTGGACGACATCGCTTTTGCGCGCTTGAAGACGGACCGCAAGCCAGCCACAACATGACGGAGACACGAATAGGCACTCGGAGCCCCCCTGCGCCACAAGCAGCCCCGGAGCTCTCACCTTGCACCTCGCGTCGATTTTCTCGAGGTCATTCCTGACGGCACGCAGCTTGCCCTCGTTCCTGCCCGCCATCGCCCACCGACATTTCCCCTGCACGTCAGCCGCGACGACCCGTTAGGCGGCCCTCAAAGCCCAACGCGACACCTCATGCAGCCAGTCGGCGCAGCTTCAGGCTCGGTTAGCTTCCCAGCATCCCGCGCCAGCCAGTCAATGCTCGGCGCGAGATCTCCCGACGTCTGTTCGCGCGTCGCAGCAGTCTGACGTCCCGGAGGAGGGGCTCCCAAAGCGGCGGCGCGCACGAGATCGAGGCAACCTCGCCGGCGCAATTGAAACAACTGCGCTGCATGGATTGGCGGATCCAAATGCACGTACGGGTGGGGCACCTGGTACTCCGTCGCGAGCCGCTCGCAAACCAGCCTTCCCGTGTAGCCGGTGGCACCCCAGACGATGATCTGGTAAGGCCGGGCGCCACCCGGAGCCGTTGCAGTGTCCTGCGCGGCCATGTCCCCAGCGCTGTTGTCCTGGCAAGCGAAGGACCGTTTCGGCTGACCGCGTTTTCAACAACAGCCCGATGGGCCCACGGAAGTTCCGGGTCGGAACTGTGGTTCAGGGGAGCTGTGGGGTGGCAGCAGCTCTATGTCAGCTTGGTGCGAGGGTTGTTTGTGTCAGCTTTGGACAAGGTGTGGTACATTCAAGGAGGTTTTTGGGCCTTGACGCGCCCGATTCCGAATCTTGGGTGGTCGCGCAAGATTACTAAGCTGCCACGTCGCTGCCAGCGAAGGCATGCGTCCAAGTTGGTAAGCTTTGACACTGAGCTCAGGTCCCCCCCCCCGGCATAAAATTACTGGCTGCACCAAATCGGTGACTGCTTGCACCAAGTCACGTGCACATCATGTCCAACTCCGTCCAAACTAACCTAACCTAAACCCTAAACCCTAAACCTGTCCTAACCCTAACCCTAACCCTAAAACTCACCCTGAAACTAAACCTAACCTTAAAATTGAGGTTAGGACAAAGTGTGCACGTGACTTGGTGCAAGCAGTCACCGATTTAGTCTTGACGGTAATATCATATCCCCCCTTCCTTTTTCCCAGCATGTTTTCTTGCTTACGCTTGCTTGTGTTGTGTGCTTATCTATTATGTTATTGGTGTACTGTTATATCTATTATATTTGCTTCGGAGGCTCTGTATCATCTTTTCATTGCATGGAACAGAACCTCACATACACTTGCCTTGGAGGGGGTGCCCTTTGTATGACTTGTTTCTCTTTCTCCTTTGTAACAAATCCCCCCCCCCCCTTTCCCAGCTCCTATCTCTGCACCTTTTTCTTACGCACTAAGAGACTCTGCGCTACCTTTTCACAGTGTGGCAAGGAGGGGGTGCCAATTGCAGTGACATGTTTCTCGTTCACCTTTAACAAATTTCACACCCTTGTCCAACCCCCACCTCTCCTTGTGTCAAACCTCATGTCGATATGGGGATGACCCAACAAACACCGCCCAACAGACTGATGCGACATCAACACGTCATCAAACAAACAGCAAACAGTCAAAGCTGCAGCGAATATATCCGGTGGGAAAATGGGATGCTTGAAGCTAGGCGATTACAAGCAGCCCCGGCAGCTGTTAATTTGAGGTGGGTGTTTGCACAAGTCATGCAAAGGTTTGCTGATCGGCAGCAGCTCGGGCTTCTTTCAAACAAATGCCGATTTTGCAGCAAACGTCTCTTAGCATTACAGATCGGGACCCGTTCCCCTTCAGCATCGAAATGACATCAAGCGTACCAGTTGTTCAATGATGCTCAAAAGGCCACATTTTAGAAGGGTTCGCTTGAAACGGTTACCTGACATAGTTATTCTTGTGTCTGAATTAGTATCCCTTTTGGCTGTTGTTAGGGAAGACACTATGTCGATTTTGGTATGCTTACCGGGAGGGGGGTGGGGTGGGGGCTCTCCAGACCTGTGACGTTTAGAAGATTATGTAATTGCCACAAAATCGACATAAGGAGGGAAGTGCCCGAAACGCCACTGCCAAGTGGCAAAGAACCCGTGACATGTTCCAAGGCTCCTGCGAGTGTTTGATCTACAAAGAAGTCCTTATAATGGATCAGTTTGCAGCCATTGAGGCTGCCCACCTCACCTATAATGGCATCAGAATCCAATTTTTCAACCCACTGAAATCAGCACAACTTTGATTGTTGTACCCCTTAAAACACCTGCAAATTGAACACCACTGTTAGGTAATGTTGCTGAGTCATCCTTGCTTCGACATAAGGATTGACGCTAAGGGGAGGGGGGGGCTGAGCTTAACGTCAAATTGACGCTCAGCATAACAAAATTGACACAGCATCCTTTCCCTTACCCACAATTTGAAATGTAACTTGGACGCATTCTTGAGTTCAAATGCGAAACACATCTTCGCACAGCCATGTGAATCCACAAGCCCAGCACCCTGGTCCCAGTTTGGCCAAATACCACCAGGAGGTTATGGACCCTGGACGCTTGCCGTTCCAGTTTCCAGCCCCTCGGTTGGAAAAGCTGGTGTCTTCGACCATCAAAATGCCATCCAGAAGCCCCAAACCAAATGCGACACCAAGGGACAGGGAACCGATGCTACTCGTCCTCTTTGCCCCATCCAAGCCAACACTGTCGCGTCTTCTCTCATCCAGCCTCAATACCCCCGCTGTCCATGTGGCACAACCCATGTCTACCATAGCAGTATTGCTCTCCATCATGGGGCTTGCCTGGAAGAGACGGCAAAATGTCAACTCCCCTTCAGCTCAAACGACGCAGGGAAGTTTTGGGCTGTTGCCGACATGAAACGTCACCGCCCAAACTCGTTCTCACAGGTGCCCTCCTTGCACCCGAGGTGCATAGGCGCAGGGCCGTGGTATTGGTCCCAAGCACCTGAGTCAAGCACAACTACCCTGAACTGCAAGCACCCTACCAGTTGTGTATTTTAGCAGTACGAGTAGTGGCCTTTTTGCCCAGTGCTCTCCGTGCCCAGTGTTCTGAGTCACTCATTGCCCTCAGGTTCCATGATGTCAAAGGTGAAACCCACTTTACGGAGCCTGTCGATGAGCACAGGGCCCATTGCCGTGGCGGGCGTCAGCACGCCCCCCTGCATGGCACCAGCCTTCTTCAAGTTCTCCGACTCCAACGCCAGGCACAGGGCACTCTCCAGGGCCATGCGAGCCGTGCTGGTATATGGGTCATGTGGGTCCTGCAGCCCCAGGAGAATGGTCAATGCGGTGACAAGCACGACATCCACACCATTCAGGCAGACACACATACAGGAACACAATTTGGCAGGGGCACCTACCTGAGCCACGTGAATAGCCTTCATACATCTTTCAAGCCGATGTCATGTCTCGCTGTCAAGGCAAGTGCTAGCATAGGAAATGTGACAACAGGACAGGATGAAAATCGTTGACAATGTAACTTTGGGTCCATTCGGTCAAACACTCCACACAAGCTTCCCTGCCTAACTAGCCAAATGCACTCATTCGTCCACCTAATCATCCATCTTAACGAATGAATGTCAGCAAGTGTGACCTGCAGCCATTGCCCTGCCTTGTTCCAACTTGTTGTTCGTGCCATTTCCAGGCATTTGCCACACATCAGCAGTTCCTTTTCAAATGCCAATTCTGGCAGGGCTTTTAGGTGCCTGTGCCAATGCATTTCGTGACTTTGGTTGTCCAGGGCGCTCAAAGATGCAAAATGGAAATTAGGCGTTCCTGGAGGTAATGGTCTTATTCTAGGGTTTTGGGACACCGTACAGCACAATGGACACCACATTACAAATTTCAATGCAAATGTCTTGTTGTGTGGATGCCAATCATTGTGAGGTCAGTGTAGACTGCGAGCAAGGGGGCACTGTTTGACTATTCGAGTTCAGCAGAGACAGGTCACACGACCAATGGGTTGAATTTTTCATGTTGCCTGTAAGGATGTTCACTCACTCTTGTCGTGTGCAACACAAGGATGTCTCAAGGAGACCAATCACACAGAAACGCAGTTGCCATTTGCAAGCACGAACCCCTCCCAGCCTCACCGCAACTTTGGCCTTGACAACGGCTGGCTGGACTCCTGGCTCCTCTTGTGTAACACCCGCCATGCAGTATTCCCAGAACCCTGCCTTTCGGTCTTCAACTGAAGGGCCCTGGCCGGGTTTGGGAATGTACCGTCCAAACAACCACTGGAGGAATTTGAACCTGATGATCAAAAAGGAGACGACAAGGACTGCTGTTGTCATGAATGCGCCCAACCAGTTTCCTTGCTTCCACATCTCTGTGTATTTGAAGTCGTCACCGTATGCATGGCCAAGGAGGGCGTTGCTCCGCCTGACCACTCGCGAGTTCACCGCCCCCATCGGGAAGGGGCCGGCCCAAACGCCCAGCTCCTTTTGGAAAACTGGCATCAGCAAGTCTGCGCCATCGCTGCCTCGTCTGCCAAAGGTCACGATCAACGGTGATCACACGAATCGCACACAAGTGCTCACATCAGACACTTCAGCGCATTCAAGACTCCTGGGATCGATGCCGTGTGTAATCCGGTGGTGAACCATCTTAGTACCACTGGTCCCATGGAGGCATTGTAAGCCTGAAGGAGCAGCGAGCAGTAGAGGAACAAGAACAACAGTTCTGCTCAGTACTGAGATGACAATGGATGTCTGGGGAGCTTGAGTGAGAGAGGTGACATTCTGCAGGACACTCTGAGCATTGAACCCTGCAATGCCTCTGATGCCAAATGGTTCGACCTGCTCCTCAAAATATATTGTTGTTGTCAAGTTCAGAAAGGCGCATGTACAGCTGGCCGCCACAGGTGGTTACAGGCCACTCACACAGCAGATCTAAATGCCACACATTTTTAAAATGCACAATCCATTGTATGGAAAACCAAAGAACATCAGCACTGAAATTTTGTCTTTGTATCAGCCAGAATGCGGTTTCAGCCACAACATCGTCAGTATTGTTTCCGACTGGTTCATGCCTGCTGCACTCTGTTTCGAACTGATATTCCAAGTATTCCACAAGGAACTATACAAAAGGTGAGTCATGTGCTGCATTCTTGCACTCCTTAGTGTGTTGAAGAAAGGCAACATAATAAGTATGCAGGGAAAATCGCACCTTTCACCATCTTCATTTGCATGAGCAGCACACGGTCACACTAATGCAGTAAAAGTGTTCACCATTGAGGGCAACATGAGTACAACAGCAGGAAAAGCCTGGCAGAATATGTCTCGCAAGGTGCCAGAGAACATCAAACAGCAGGAGCCACCAGAATAGCCGTCAATAGCTTTTCTCTTCTCATTTTATCTTACAGTCATATTGTACATAGCTGTATGCTACATACTGTACTTCAGTATGCGTCTATATTGCAGATGAAAACACCATGTACAAATGAAAATGCACACAGAGCTAGTGTCACCTGCTGTCTGGGGGATCCAAGCTGTATGGATCCATGCTCTCCTTCATGTTCCCCGCTGCCAACATTAGCTCTGTCGTTTTTATAGCAGTGGAAATGGTCCCCCCACTAAACCCCCCCTTGGCTTTCACACACACGCCATCGACCTTATCGCATTTCCTGATCGAATGCAGTGAATTACTGAGTCAGCTCCATTGTCAGTGATGCACAGGCTAAAAGGTTGCAAGCAGATGCAGCAACCTGCAGAGCCACGCTGGCATGACATGTGACTTCCATGCTCTCCGCCAGGGCAAAATGCCAATGGCAGCAATGCGGTACAAGCAGACAGCAGCAGAGAAAAGGGCGATAATTTTCTGCCACATCATCAGCATCTTTCGGGGCTTACGATGCCTTGCATGTTTTCGCAGAATTCCCCCAATGACTCCATTAGGCACAGGGTTGATCACAGCCTTGTTCCATTAGCCTATGTCATGTGCCCAACCCCTGCACAAGCGTTGGTTCCCAAGCACCATTTTTATCCCAAGATTTTATATCACATGCAAGATGCAGCAACTGGGCTCCTAGTAGTGATTCAGCAGCTTGGAAAACAATTGGAATTTGTTGTTGTTGCCATTCACAGAAGAACGGCTCAATGTACACAATGCAGAGACGATTTGCACTGTGTTGGAGCTGCCTTGGAGCATCTCACTGTGTTAGCCCTCGCTTGCACTAGAAAGCCACAGCAGGATGCGTAGGAGGGTGCCCAAAGCTAGTCCGGCACCCACCTCTGCAAACTTTTTTTCATGTGGTCGACAACGAACCAGGTTCCCAGGTCTGAAGGGATACTGTCCTGTCCACAGAAAGACACTAGCTTCACGCCTCTGGCTTTGGCAGTGTCATGATACTTGCGTATGAGGCCTTTTACCCAGGGCGTTTCACCTGCAGCAACAGGCCAAACGATTGCCTTGTATCATGTTCAGATCCTGCAGGATCAGGCAGTGCCAATGACCGTCACAAAGGTGAGAGAGGGAAGAAGACAAGCGACGTCCTTGAAAGGGACACTTTGGTCACTTGTGTGTTTGTTGTTTCCATTATTAGCCATTTTGTCGTTAGAATGTTTTTTGCTATTGATTTGTTGCATTTTGCCATTGTGTCTTTGCTTGGTTGACAAACAAAGGTTGTTGTCCCAACTAATAAATTAGCAAACAAGCAATGCCACAATGTTGCCAGCCAACAATAGAATAAACGTCAAAGCGCAGTGTCCAGGGCAGGTATCTCATTCACATGATTACAACACTGAGATCTTGCCTATGTACAGCAGGCAATTTTCATGGTGACGTCCTTCCATTTCTTTGCATCTATATCCATGGCTGGTTGCAACAAATTGTAGAACAGTGCCACAATTGGCATCAATCCCTGCAATTCCACAGATATAACACGATGCCAGAAATGGGAAGGTCTGTATGGAGATATGAAAACAATCAACATGCAAACCACAAAGTCCACTAGCTCTCACACATATTTCTTGTCGTTCATGACTGTTGGCTGGGGTGAGTACAAGCAGCAGTGACAAAGCATGGGATCTTATGTTTACATTGAACCAATGAATGCATGCATCCTTAGTGGCAAGGTCAATCACAGCACATTAGACATGGAAGTTCTCACATTATGAGCAAGGAAGTGTGATGCATTTGTTATCCAATAGGGTTCTCTAAGCATGCACCCAAGAAAATGCTCTGTCCATATTCTGTCACAGGAATCCTCGTTCACCTCAACCTCATCCCTCCAGGGGCCAAATATCCTTCACCCTATGAGGTGGAAAACGAGGACAAGAAGGCATAAGAGAAATCATTCTTCACCTGTAATGTCACAGTAGTGTGTGCCTAAGCGCACACTGGCATCAACAACACCTTCACTGTACATGAAGAAGGGGCCAGCACAGGCGACGACCACATCTGTCTGCTCAACCATCCTGTCCAGTGAAGTCTGATCTGCAGCATCTGCCACGATCAGAGGGACATCCTGAAGCAATGAGAGTGTCAGGATAGACCCTTGTTGGTAAAGCCCAGAGTACGGTAACCAAGTATCTGATGAGTCTGGAGTTTCTGGAGCAGTTATCAAGATGTGCCACACTGTTGGTTTGTCACCTGGCAAGCGATGCAGGGACAAGCCCATCAGGAGTGATGTAATTTCCTCAAGCTCAGGAAGGAATGGCGAGTCGCTGCCATGGGGCAAGTAAACACTGAGTCACTTGTCATGCTGCTCATGCTTTGCACCGCTGGGCTGTCTTGTTAGCAGCTGCAATATTGTGAAAATTGTTGGGTCCAACTAAAGGGTGGAAATGCGTTATGAAAACATTGAGATACGATGGGCCAAGGACACAATGCTACTCAATGCTAACGCACAGCAAACTGATTGCCAGTATTTCATGGGCTCATATGTGCTGGTCTCTGGAATGGATGACAAAATTAAACATCTGTGGGTGACAACCTTAGACAGGGTAGCAATGAAAAGCACTTGTTCCAAATGATTGGAACCTAATATAGTAAATGCAACCCTTCCGCATCAACAACACCGCGTTTTACCATTAGTCTTTTTACAATGCTCCACAAAATTTTATCTAAAGAGTGTTATCTATTTTACTGTTTTTTTTGCAAAAAAGGCCAAGAGTTACGTTACTCTGCAGAAGGGCTGAATATACTCCTGTAGGCACAGTAGATAATGCAACGCATGGCGATCAGGTACAAGTACACTAAATTGGACACAGCTGCCACATACTCATTCCACTATTCATGCACTTGTCAGTGTACAAGAGATCCTCTTTCAAACTGATTAGAGGCCTACACACAGCACAATATGGCATTTGTCCACCGCATAGTCTGGTTTCGTTGCAGTGATATGGTGGTGACGACAACAGTGAGGCATAAAAGAGGCAGGGCAACGACCAGACTGTAGCGGCATGGCCAAACGATGGGTGCACATTAATGCGCATTGGGCGGGCCAGGTTTTCCGGAAAACTGCGGAACCGGCGACGCCCATGTACGTTTGGGAATACGTGCCACAAGTCCAGTGCATCAGGCACTCCAACCTCATGGGCTTGACATGCCCACCTTGCACATTGCATCTATCTTCTCCAGCTCCACGCGCAGCGATTCCAGCTTGCCTTTATTCCTGCCAGCCATTGCCCACCGGCATGTTCCCTGCCATGGCCAAGGAGTTCGTCGTCATTCCCTCGACACCATGCGGGCAATGCTATCAAACGCACAGCAGCTCTCCCAATTCAATCTCGGCCATCAAAAGGTGGTGCGCCGGCGATCCGGGATCCAAGGATTCGGCGACACTCGGCAGCGCTGTGGCGCAGCGCAAATCCTGGGGGCGACAACCGCAACATCAGACCCCATTGTCTAACGCACGGATTCGCTGCCCGGCTGGTTAAACAATGGCAGTGGCAACAAATAGCATCCTGCGCGGGATCTCCAAAGCCAGGGGGGCGCTGCGCAGCGAACGTGCGCGCATCAACGTTGACGACCATGAGACGGGGAGTTCGCAATTCGGCGGGGCGACTTGGGAAGCGGCAGGCCGCCGCACCGGGTACACCGCGGCCATCTGCTCGCACAGGATTTTGCCGGTGAAGCCAGTGGCGCCCCACACGACGATCTGGTAGGGGCGAGCGCCCTTGGCCAGAGCTGCCATCGCTCCAGCGGGCGCCTGCTGAGGATTGCGCACGCCCGTGGAATGGATGCGGCCGTGTGGTGTTGATTTTGTAGCAGATTCTGCAGCCCTTAACGGCCCAAGCATACAACCGCATCTGCGGTTGAGGCACCGTGTGCACCGCGGTTGTATTCCTGCCTTCAAACAGTCGGAAAGGACGTGCGATCACGTCTTGTCCCATCATTGAATGGCGCCGGGGGCTGGGGTGCTCGAGTGGTACCGGGGTGGGGGTGTGCTGCAGCAGGCATGCTTCAACGAACTGCAGTACGCTCCAGCATGAGGAAACCCCAACTGTCCCATGAAAACGGGATGACTGTCCCGACCCGCCACACAACGTGAAGACGGCCAGATGCAACATGGCTGCAAGCGACAGCCCTCACCAGGCCGCTAGCTCCCGTCGCTCTCCCCTCACGGCCGAATAGTGGCGATCGCTTGGGTGCTCGCTGCTGGGAACCACCACCGGCGTGTGCAGCTTGGCTTAAAGGGGGCAATACTGCGCGTGATGTAATCACTGAGAGTTCTTGCAAATTTTCTGCGCAGTATCTGAGGCCCTGCAAATCCCTGGGCGGCAACAGCCGCTGCACAGGTAGTGTTACAAGGACGTCCGACGTGGGTGTGCAAAACTCATTCCCGCCCCAGAAAAAAGCATTTCAGTCCACCACTAACTCACGTCCACAGAATACAGCATAAGAACAGGCTTCGCAATCAGTGCAGGCGAATGAAGAAATGAACCTACACTAATGTGACTAGTGCATGAACAGAACCGGTGTCAAGCAACGACAGGCGATATGGTAGGCACTGATCAGAACTGTAACACGCAGCTGCTGATGCCGACCAGTACAGCGTTGGCTGCAAGAACAGCCCACTGACAGACCATGCGGGCCTGTGGCTCTGGGTGCTGTGCAGGTGATGGCGTCGAGGTTTCCAAGCGCTGCGACTTGGCCAGATTCATTCATGTTGCATTTAGCTACCAAAACCGAATTAGGATGAGCGGCCATGATAAGCTTCCCACAGTGTATTCTGTGTGGACTGCTATACACATAGACGGGCATTGGACGGAACTGATTAACATGGGCAGGGCATGCTGGCAAAGTTTGATTTCGGTGGTGGGTAGCATTCCACACTGGCTTCGGGGTATCATCTGAGCGTTCACAAACCGCCGCAAGACTGGCACAAACGGACATTCGGTGCTTGAAAGTCGGAGCAAGGATAGAGGGAGCATGTACAATATCGGTTGGCAAGGTCTGGCACCATAACACTAAGACCAAAGGCACGAAATCACTCAAGAACTGGCACCAAAGAGAATGCTGCAAGGGTGCAGTGCCAACCTTTGCATTCACAACACAGGCCCAGTTCCCTGTTGTGCACCCAAACTCATGGCTGGCATCGACTCAGGTTAAAATCACATGGCCTATTCTACACAAGCACAGTAGTGGTTGCTCAGCACAGTTCCCCATAACGCCATCCAATCGTTTCAGTAACACTGACTGCTGTCGAGCATGTGTGGTGCACTCAATCACAAACAACCACCATTCTCAATCCCCGCCATCAGCGGTGTCACATAAGGAAGGCAGTGCAACGACCTTGAGAATGGGGACAGCAGATCTACTGTACTCCCTTCAATAGTGCTCCAAAGCTGCAACGCAACAAAAACAGGCATCTCCCTTCAACATGCACTGTGAAATACCTTGTCACAAGACACATTGTTCCTTCCTCACAGGGGCAATGCAGGGGCTACACACTACAAATTGTAAGCTTGTCATCAATCCTAATCCCACAGGATTATCCATTTTCGCCTGCAGCTATTGCAGAGTGGCTATTTGAAGCAGCCTGAAAGTCAGCATACTTCTGGCTTCATTCGAGATTTGGTGGATTTAGCTCATCATCACAGCATTCAAGAGTAGCAATTACTCCTTTCTGGAGAATAATCATCAGCCAGGCCACAAGAAAACTACACCCTGGAGATCAGGGAGGCAAATATGATACATCAACACCTCACATTGTTCTGTCACGCTAGCGCACCAGAAAAGATGGATCAACCCATCCAAATGACAACTCTGCAAATCGTGTCGGTTCCTTGTCTTTTGATGACGAGGAAACGAGCATGCAAACACAAGAACAGTGGCTTCATCGATCTTGGTGGGAATGCGTTGTCATCGGACAACCTCAACAATAGCAAACTACTCTTAAAGTATAATCATTAGCCACTGCCGATCCAGGATGCACGAGTTTGCAGCCGAGGGACTGCTTCCAGAAAGGTGGAGGAAGCACAATGCCCACAGCTGGCAGCGGCCTCAGAGAGAAGATTATTCAAGATCAAGGAGCACACACGTGCTCTCAGTTGACACGCATGATACATCATTTCGTCACCGGCCGCTAAGGTCTCTTTCTATGCTCCGATGCGCTGAAGCATCGACTGCAAATCCGCATCGAGTTTTTCTGTCATGACAGTATACAGCACTGCCTTTTCGCCTGCTGGGCAACATCAATATCTGAATCAAGTGTGATTGAGAATGTGGAAGGGGCAGCTCACTTGTCTGGTGTCATGTGTGCGAAGAATATGATAAAAGCCAAGCAACAGTTCCCGTCCAGGAGTCACCTGCAGAAGAAACGAACTCAACTATTGAAATCCCAACAAGGGCCAAGCTGAAGAAGACACACATTCTTTCGCTCAGGGGAGGGACCATCCTTGGCAGAATTCTGGCCTTAAAGATCTTTGACTATCAATGCCACTACAACAAAATCTGGCACAATTAATTGCCAAAATTGCATCAAACATACATCATTGACAACGCTTCCTCAAAAATACACTTGTGTTGGCATGGATAGAAAGACGCACAAAATAAAGCAATGAACAGTGCATGCCGATTCAAGAAACTTCAAAGGAATTGCCCTTGCAAAATTAATGTAACAGCAATCTCTTCCACAATTTGCACGAGCACTGGTCTATTCTGATTGGAAGATGTGCAATGCAGTCATCGAACATTCACCAGCCCCTCCCAAAGGCTGAGGTGCCCACAATTTAGGTTCCCATACAACAACCTGCAACAAAACAATCAAAGTTTGCTCATGCAAGGCCACCGAGGCCTAACATGCTCACCACGCAGTACTGGACGGCAGCTACTGATGTCCTTGTCAATGTCTAGTCCAGCCATTAGGTCTTGGGTCTTCCTCTTCCTCAGCATCTTGAAACCTCTCAGGATCATCGCCAACAAGCTGGACAGGCGGTTACAAATCTCAATGTAGGAATGAGGAAATTGCAGTGTGAATCGGCATTGACAACTTGTGGGTATGGCAAAGCACAACCTTTGCATAGATGATGTCGGGCATGGGCAATGGGCAGTTACGGTCGCACTGTCAAGCTCATCCTGGGGGACTACCCAAACATTTGCCAAGAGCCAGCAACTAAATGTCCTGACAGTGCGTCAAAAGCACCGAACCAAAACCAAACCACCCGTTTCGTAATTCAGACTGTGCCTTGTGAAGAAACACCCCAGTGGGCTTCCACACTAATAACAGCTGTCAGTGCTCCCAGATTGCAATGGCTTCAGTAGGTTCGGCCAAATGTTCTCAAGAGAAACACTTGGTGGGATCATTGAAGATCTCAGAATCTTTCTTAATCATCAGCCAGAGTGCACCACTTCAGTCCATACCGTGAACATAAATCTGCAGGCCACCTGCTGTGACTAAGAATGGTACTCATCTTGCCACCTGCTTCCTCACTGCCCCATGTTGCTGGCAAGGTGCAAGGACACTGCCTTGCCCTCCAATGCAAAACTCAACAACCAATTTCACACACCTCATCAAGATCCCCCTGACCATCTTCAATCTCCAGTTCTTCCATTGCATTTTCCATATCAGCAGCAGCCACACTGGCAAGAGCGCTGTCCACATTGTAGAAGAAAGTGCCCTCTTCACTGTCGCCTGGCAGTTACAACATCCAGGACAGTCTCAAAAGGCAATGACAGCGACAGAATGTCCACACTCTTCTGCTGCCTAGTGTCCAATCACGCAAAGTCTTGCCTGCTTAGACAACATTGTCACTTGGTCATCGCATGCTGCAAAGCATGGTCACAATACCAGCTGGTACCAAGATTCAGTGTGTCTGCACGCAGCTGCAGGTGCATGTGCTGGATGACCAAACAGTACCAAACAGCAGCAACTGCGAAAACGCGAAACAGAGTTTACCAGTTGCTCAGAGTGCATCAGCCCCCATAGTATGTTTCGGAAGCCTGACTTCAAATTCATTCATTCATTCACAAGCCAGAAGATTCCATAACACAGTAGTGAACAGCAGCTGCCTTTGGGCAAGTACCATCACAGGCAACTCACCATCGTCAGAGTCTGGATTCAGAGCCGCGCACTCGGACAGGAGCCTGAATATTTCTTCCACTACACAGCACGAGAATACACATCAACAGATGCCCACAAAAGTTACCTCCAGATCAACAGAGATCACGCAGTGACAAACTCGATATCCAGCACAATGATTCTGCACACTGAAACAAGTTAAAATGCAGATTGGCAAACAGTTAAGTACACCACAAAGTGAGATGAGGGAAGGAAAAGCTGGGCAGTGAAGCCTAGAGTGGGAATGGCAGCCGCGTGTGCCAATCGATGGATCTGCCAAGCTGCAAACCTGCCGACCTTGCTGAGGCTGAGCAGGCACCAGCCTGAGTTCCGCATCAAGTGCTGTGGTCCCCGCCTCGCCCTCCCCCTCCTCGTCCTCTTCCTCGTTGAAGCGCGGGTCGGGGCAATCGAGCTGGATGTAGATGCAATCCCGAGCAGACACCTCGGGATCCCTTGAAACGGCATGCACAGCGATGCTGCGGAAGTCGGCGGCGTAGCCGGTGCCATTCGAGCCGGTGCCTTCGCTCACCCACACCACCCTCCTGAGGCACACAACAGGCACGGTGTTGAGAGGCGTTTGGCGACTTCTGCGCACCCAACTCCGCCCCACGATGGCAGCAATTTGAGAGCCGCCGCCACCCACAGCACGCGCCAGAAGTGCCAAAGGACACAATCTCTCGATGGCTGCATCAATGCAGGCGTTGAATCGACACCGCAAGGCGAGGGAGGCGGCACAGGGGCGGCGAAGACGTCCGGGCATCAAGTATCCAAAACCCACTTTGGTCCAGAGCGCACTCAGGGTGGCGGCACGAACGCCAAAGCACAAGAAAATGTGCGGTTAGGTCCGTAAGCCGAGGGGTGGCGGGCCAAAGCCCCGCCGCAAATCCTCACTTTGTGGTCAAAAACAGCGCGCCAGCGCCCTGCGCTGCCCCTGATCCCATCACCAGCTCCACGCCCGGGAACCGTCCACGCACTTCCTCGTCGGAATACTCCATTGCGGGCTCGCCCGATGGCTGCAAGCTGGACACGACAGACAAGCCCATTCGGGCGGCAACCTCGTTGCCAGGCCGCCGCGCTTCAGCCATGGCGCCTTCGGTTGTCCGCTGCACAGGACCTGTTCGCCCCACACCAACAAAGGCACCAGGGTTGGTACGGCTAATGAACGGTCATGCCTGCCTCCATTGCTCAATATTCGATTTCAATCATCATCGTCATTTATTTTGACATAACAAGGCAATGGGGTAGCCGTCGGCTTACTATTTCCCTCGAGCAAGGCAGTCCCTATGATCAGGTCATTGAAATCCAATGTTGAACACAAACATAACAAATTCAAACATCACTGCCACCTAGCCAGGCTTTCATCATCAAGAAATCTGACATATCAAGGCATCCTAGGCTTTCAGTCATGCTTGTTGGCTTCCTGCACGAACTGGGCCGTCTTGAGGCGCTCAGAATGTGTCGATGATGGGATAAGACCTTGGGGCTGAAGTACCGCTCAACCTATCCCCTCACCTGCGTCAATCAAATGCCAAGCCAGCGACTGAATCTCCCAAAGCATCACCCCTCCCGTCAATCCTTCCTACGACGCATGTTCCATGCTCGGGGCTGACGGTCAATGCGCTCTTGGCCCCCGAAATTCCGCCCTGTTGCCGCCAGACAAGGGGGACGCCCCCCCACCCCCTTCACAATGGGCTCCAGGTTGCCGGCCCAACGTCCAGTTGCACATATTTTCGGAGGCCGATCGTCCCCCAACAAGTCAAAATCGCCCCCAACATGTTGACCTCTCACGGGTCGACGCGTCCCTGGACCAATGTTCCCTCCCAATCCGCCTCCCCTGCTCCCTCCTACACCTATTCTGCACATTTCCAGTCGGCAAAACCATTCCCGTAGCGCATGGCTGCGGTGGCCCAGAGGACGCTGGATTCGAAAGGGTTTTGACTAGATATGGCGCCCCAAGGCGTGGGCCGTGAGGAGAAGCCCCAAGCAGTTCAACCACCGGGGCCGTGCAGGATGCGAACCGGCTGTCCAGCAGCCATTGGTGCTGGCCAGAACTGTCCCTTCTGACAGCGGAGGTCCGCGAGTCCCCATGCTTCGTTTCCTTCGCCGCACCTGACCCAAGGTAAGGACCCTTGACTTCGTTTTTCTCTGGTCTGCAGCCCGGATTTGGAGCCTGCAGGCTCTTTAAAGGGCGACAAAGCGGCGTTTTGAAGCGAGAGCTATACGCCTTGCGGGCCCGGTGCATGACCGGCTTGTGAGGGGGATGGGTGCTTCTGTTCTGTATGTGAGGTTTTGCTCCGCCACGAATGAAGCACCCCAACGCACAGCTGGTGCGCCTTGGCTCGTGATGAAACCAAGTGGCTTCGATGCATTTAGGGGATGGACAGGCGTCGCGAGCTTCAGGCTGTCGGGGGTCTCGGTTTCGGGCTCCTGACTCGAGCGTGGCGGCCCCTCGTTACGCGTGACTCAGCCTTGCTGTCGCGATTCCGCGCTTGGTGCCGTTCTTGAATCTATTCATGCTCTGCAGTAATGGCCGGTTGCATGGCCATACCGTTGATGCAAGAGTGTCAGCCTGTTTACAGAATGACAAATCAACATTTGTTCAATCGATTCTTCTCCACATCAACGGACAGCCGTCAGCTCCCGTGTGTTGGTGTTCGGTTATCAATCAGCATAAAGGCAGTTCAGTGAGACAATAGGTTGGGATGCCTCAATAGTACCCGTTATATGCGTCGAGAAATTTGTATCGCCATCAGATCCCTACCTGATCCCACATTGCCTCCGTCGGAGTACCGAGCGTCTGTGAATGATTGGGCTAATTGCGTAAGCCAGGTTCCCAGTACTCTTGAAGTTGGCAACATGTTCACCGCCTTTTAGAATGCTCGAGAGCCATCCTTTCAAACTTACAATGTATGCATCACAGGGAATTTCAAAATGCAACATTGACCTCAAATACAGGAACATCAAGCGGCGATTTGTCAGCCCTCATACCATTCTGGGACGGCGTCGTCTTTTGTACACTTACCGCTGGCTTCCTTTCATTAAGAATCTGAAAACGTTGAACATTTTGTATATTGTTTTCCTGTACATGAGCCCTACTGCATTTTCATGGGCCTTTGGCAGGCCGTGTGTCCAGCGTTAATTAACGCTGGACACAATTATGAGCCAATTATAATTGGCTTCGCATAGTGGGACTAATGTACGTACTCGAGGACGTATTTTGTGGGCCATCTGTCACCTGTGCCGAGCACCCTGTTAAGCAAATGCGCAGTGGAACGCACCATTGACGACGTCCCTGTGGACAACATTTTCTGTACTTTACTTTCGTCTGACCGGACCCTCTTTTGTGCCCCCTCGCCAGGAGATGTCCCCGAGGAGGCCCATCTCGTCCAGCAGCAGCGACTGCCCCTCGAATGGGGGCCGGGCCCCAAGGTCCACCGCGCCGGGCTGGAATAAAAGCGACAGATGGAGCGGGCGGCAGCCGGACCCCGGGCCGTTCCGCTCAAGGGCGGCCCAACGGGCAACTCCGCCCTCTGACAGCAGCGACGACGAGCTCGGTGCGCCTCCACCCTGTCGGGTGCGGCGTTTGGAGAAGGGTAGCGCCGATCACAAGCGGACCGAAGCCCGCGTGGCGGCCCCGGAATGCGCCACTGCCAGGCCGGTAAGTCGCGGCGAGCAGGCGGCCAACTGCGGCAGCTCCAGCTCCAGCGACGATGATTATGGATTGTGGGTAGGTAGAAGCGGCAGCGCGATGGCGGGCGAGGGCGCTACGGGCGCGCCTGGAGGTGGCAAGGCCGCGGAGGCGGGGGGGCGATCCCGGAATGCGGCCCCGTTCGGCCCAGTGGCCCGCGGAGAGCCCCTTCCCGGGCGAACGCCTGGAGGCGAAAGCGACGAGAGCAGCGACAGCGACCTGATGGTTGGGATGACACGGGCCTCGGGGGGCGGGGGCAGTCGGCCTGCGCATGCGCGGCCGAACGGTGATGCACCAGCTCGGGACGAGGGGCGCATAGAGAGGGGTCTGCGCGGCAGCCGGCCGGCAGCATCGCGGGACAAGGGCAGGGAGGGCCTCTCGAGGGGTGGATGGATGCGAGGGGAAAGGCGCCCATCGGAATGCGGTGCTGTCTGCGACGGAGCGGACGCGATGGGCGCCTGCAGCAGCTGCAGCGGCTCGGTGTGCGGCGCGCACCGGGGTGGTGACTGTTGGGCGCCCCAGGGGGGCGCGCGGGGGGCGGAGGGCAATCACGGGGCCCGCTCCTGCAGCAGCTGCTCGGGATCCGTGTGCGGGGGCTGCTTCAAGCCCACCAACGGGCGCGGCAGTGGACCTGGAGGCGGCCAAGCCCCCCCGGCGCTCTCCTGCAGCAGCTGCAGCGGTTCCATCTGCGGCGGCTGCCTCAGGAATGCCGACAAGTGCGGCGGTGTGCCTCGGCACGCCCAGGCCCCCGGTCTGCAATCTTGCAGCAGCTGCAGCGGCTCCATTTGTGGGGGACGCGTCAGCAATGCCATTAGGCGCGGCGGAGTGCGCGGCTGGCCCTCCGCACCGCAGTCCTGCAGCAGCTGCGGCGGATCCGTCTGCGGGAGGCGCTTCGAGCGCGTCGACCGGCGCACACTCGCGCCTCGGCACGGTCGGGCCCCCACGCGCGCAGGCCTGTCCTGCAGCAGTTGCAGTGGATCCGTCTGTGGTAATTGTTTCAAGAACGAGGAGGATCGCGGCGGCGGGCGCCGAAGTCGTCTGGCGCACTCCTGCAGCAGCTGTAGCGGTTCCGTATGCGGCGACTGCCGGAGCGGGGTTGCCGCGGGGCTCGACGGGACTCCCGGAGTGCGACCCAGGGGCAGCCTCCTGCTGCGGCGTCGGAATAGCATGCGGGAACAGAGGGACCACGGCGGCGTGAGCCGCCGAGAAGGCGGTCGCACGCACAGCGGCTTCGACGAGCAGGACCTGGACCCCAAAGGCGAGGAGCGGAGCCTCAAGCTCCGGGGTGGCGTCAGGAAACTCGAGGCGAGCCTAAAGGAACAGGGGGGGAGCTACTGGGGCCTTAAGGATGGCGGCCACAAACCCAGAGTCGGCGAAGTCTGTGTGGGGTCGAGCACCCGCCCTTCTGCCCGGGCAGCGTCCAGCAGCAGCGGCAGCAGTAGCAGCAGCAGATCCATCCGCCAGGCCGTGGCGATCCGCAGGCGTCCTCGGCAAACTGAAAGCGAACACAGCGACAGCAGCGACGAACCCTGCGTGAATGCCAACATGCGCCACAGGCTGATTGAAAGGGAGGACAAGGGGGGCCTGAAACGGGACGCGGCGCGGGGGCCCCACATGTCGTGCTCCACAAGCAGCACCTGCGCCGGAATTGTCAGAAAGACCCGGCTGCAGGGCGACCTGGATGTCCTGCGTGCCACCTCGGAAGGAGATCTCGACAGCCCCCCTTTCAGTCTCCAATCTGGCGCGGACGAAAAGAAGCGAAAGCAAGCTCTCGTGAGCCGCGAACGCAGCCCGCGGGCCGCTCGAGGCGAGAGCCGAGCCCACGTTTCATGGAGCCAAGGCGCCGGTGAAAAGAGCGGCGATGAGCATCGCAAGCGAAAGCCGGTTGATGCGGACGCCCCCGGCGAGCGCGGCCCACACCGCGTCGAGGCCAAGCACACGAGGCTGAGCGACGGACAGTCCAGCTGCACTAACTCCACTCGCACGACACCGGAGGGCTGGGACGCTTGGGAGCGCACTGGCGGCGAGCACGGCTGCCGTAATGCGCGGCCGCTGCAGGACGTGTCAGACGCCTCCAGCGATGATGCCGACCGGTTAAGGAAGTGCCGGACGGACGACAGGCCCCGGGAAAGGAGCAGGGACCAGGCGTCGCCTTCCACTGACAGGGGCAGGGCCGAACCCACGGTGACTCACCGTCGACCTCGGAGTTTGGCCTGCGGCGCAGAGACGTCCGGCAGCAACCCCGGCCGACCGTTTGACAGAGGGGCAGCGCCCGCTGCCGACGGAGCAGGGTCGCCGGCGCGTGCGGAAATAATCTCGAAGGGCGGCGCGGAGCGGCGTCAGCGCCAGATGGGA